CACACTTCATCAGAACACCGTTACAAACAAACCTGAGTCTCCGACTAAAGTGACCTTTAACTGTTGCATCAACCAAGCTCTCTCTTTTTCAGCTCTTTTTATTATTCCTTATTAGTGATTCGCAAGTGTTATGATATTCTACTAGATTAGTGATAGTACTAATGGTAATTAAAATGGTTTAATATTCAAACACTTTGAATAATTAATTATAATAATTCTATACACAACCAAAATTATAAAATTATAAAATTTTAGTGAAATATTCGATAGTAAAACAACTAGTAATATACTACTACCAGAACTGTATCGAAAAAGATCGAAAGAACTTTCAAAAGAATGGAAAAGGGAAGGAACTCAAAAAGATCAAAGATCTAATGAGCCGCCCTCAATTAGACAGCGTTTACTATTCTGAAGTCGAACAACAAAAGGAATACGAGCGAATAATTCGTGTTATCGACACGGAAGGCGCGATCATGAATGCCGCTTTAAGCAACAAAGACCTTTCTAAGGCGATCACATGCTGCGACAACATCGGTAAAGAGCTGAGAACTATTTCTTTGTCACCTAAAAACTATTATAACATTTTCTTGTCGACACAGACTGCTTTTAGTTCACTGTACATGTACTTAAGAGACGAATATGATGGGAGTCTTCTTGCATTGTATGAACAAGTCCAGTACATCTACTACGCAGTTCCACGTCTTTACTTGATGTGCTGTGTTGGTGCTGCCGCCATTGTGAAAAAAGCTGCATCAGTCGACGCACTAATGAAAGATCTTGTTGAAATGTGTCGAGCCGTTCAACACCCGACTAAAGGTCTTTTTGTTAGAAACTACCTCATCGATATGTTAAAAGATAAATTGCCAGATGGAAACTCCACAGGACAAGGTTGTGGGTCTTTAGTTGATTCCGTTGACTTTGCGTTGGTCAATTTCATTGAGATGAATAAGTTGACTGTGAGACTTCAAACGGGTGTTAGAGACAAAGAAAAGAAGGCAGACGAAGAAAGACAGTTACTCCAGTTGGTTGCTAGAAACATCACATTGCTCTCCAATTTGGAAGGAATGAGTTTCCGGTTGTACAGAGATTCTATTATGCCAAGAGTCTTGGACCAAATTGTTTCGTGTAACGATTTGAATGCTCAAATGTTTTTGATGGATGTCATCATATCGGCCTTCCCAGCCGATTATCATATTGGTACGTTGGAAGATTTACTTCGATGCTTCCCAGTCCTTCACAAGCAACTCGACGTTCGGCCTCTTCTCTTAAACTTGATGAAGGCTTTGATCACTTTTATCAAGTCGGATCAAACACTCGATCCAATTCTCGCAAAGATTAACATCTTTGAAGTTTTAAGTAGAATGTTATTGGACATTTGCAGAAAGAGAAGTGTTGGTGCCGCAAGTTTCTTGGCACTTATGGCATACTTCCAAGAATTACAGATGACTTGGTATGCTGCAGACAAAGCAAGATGCTATAAGCAAACGCAACAAATCTTCGATATGATCTCAAACAACTTGCCGGAAGAGCCTTTGGATCAATACGCTATAACTTACTTAATGAGATTGTTACAACAGTCTTTGATGTCATTTAGTGTGAAGGAGATGCTTGAAATCTTTGGGTTCAGAAATTGTATTTCTCTCTTGCCATACAACAAGCGTAAAACAGTTGCTGGTGATATTATTAACAGATGTGTTGTTCTTGACGAAAAGATTGAAACAAAAGAGTTTGCTGCGAATATAGTGGAAGTTGTCCAAGACTTGCTGATGAAAACAAAAGATCAACCGGAGGGGTTGGAAGAGGAAATTATTTCTGTCGATGTTGAGAATGCATGTAAACTGTTGCATTTAATTGGAGGAGATGCAAATGCGTTTGAAACTATTTTGACATTGTTCAGAGATAAGATGACGAGTGATGCAGTCAGAGTGCAATATGTTGCTGCGCCATTGATGTTTGTTGCGTTAAGCAGAAGAAAAGAGGCCGAGTTGGTGAAATTTGTCTTTGCGTTTGTTCTTGCTCTTTTGAAAATGGTGACGAAATTGGAGCATTTTGTGTTAGGGTTCCGATTGTCTCTTCAATGTGGTGTTGCTGCTTCGGAAGCTGGTGTTGAAAAGTTCATGTACTTCTTCAAAAATGCTTTTGATATCTACGAGAACATTGTTGAATCAACCGTTCAAAAAGAGTGCATCGACATTGCCCTTGGCACTTTAATTAGTTTCAAAGGAAACGAAACAAGCTTTACCGAAATAAGAAATATGGTTTTCAAAACTATTAATTATTTGTTGAGAACGCCAATGAAATGCGAGATGCTTTGCAAGTTGGCTGCTGTTTCGATGGCAAATGCAAGTGGTGTGATCGACAAAAAAGCAGCCCTTGACCTTTTAACAAGAGCAGTGAAAGAATCTGACAGAATCATTGATTCCGACATCCACGCAATAGTCTGCATGATGTTGTTGAACTACCAAATACAATACCTTGACACATTGGATATTCCATGCGATACGTTAGAAACTTTAATCCAAAATATTAAAGACGAGTCCACAGAATTTTCTGAAGAGCAGTTGGCTCTTTTCAACAACTCGATTACAACGTTAAAGGTAGTTTCGGAGAAGAGCGACAAGTACAAGAAGCTTGCCCTTTAATTGATGCTTTGGGTGTTTTAATCTTTGGTTTGGGGAACCATATTGCAATAATAAATGAATTATAAATAAACAACTTTAAAACAACAAATCAAAATGTTTACAAAATTTCTTCATGAGAATTTGAAGTGTGAGGCGATCCTTTTGACTTTTTTTTGAATAAAGAAAAAGTGACCTTCTTTTTGTTGGTATTGTCCACTGACTCTGCTCGTTGGGGGGTTGCAAGAACAACACTGTCCTCTGTCAACTTGGGAGTCTCTTTTTTTCGCCTGAAAAAGCTGAATGACAATTTTTTGTCGGGACGCTCTTGACTCTGGTCCCGACTCTCTGGCTTACTGGAAGGTAGACTCTTCTTTTTGTCTTCTTTCTTTTGCTCTTTTTCTTCGCGTTTCCGCTCTTTTATTAACTGCTTGGCGCGTTCTTTCTCAACCTTTTTGATCATTTTCTCAGTCTTAATCTCCGAGTCCGACCGCGGAGAAGATGGCAACGAACTCACCAAATCACCAGACAGATGGAAACTAAACTGCTTTGACCGCTCTTTTCGTTCTATTTGGACTTTAACGGGTACGACACGGGGTAACGGGTCCAATTTTTTATTAGTTGAATCAGTCATCTCTGATGACACAAAGCGATCGAAATAAAGACGAAGTGATGGTGGAGTGATCGTCCCACGCAGCGGTGAGTCGGCCAATATATTAATGACATGTCCATTATTCAGAGCAGTTTTGAAAATAGTGAAATATTGTTGTGTGTTGAACGCGCCGTGGATGTACCGCAACTCCGGCATTTTTTCAAGCATGACCTGAACAAAGTCTTTTTGGTCGAGTGTCATTGTTTTCCCATACTCTTTAAATGGATAGAGTCGAGTAGCTGGGGTGTAATTTTCAAATGGCAAATTGGTAATGAACGGGTGTGTCAATGCTTGGTCTGGCGTTAGTCTTTCTGATGGGTTATATGACAAGCAGCGCTGAATAAAGTCCAGCAAACACTGCCTTACTTCATCAGACGAGCGAGCGTCGTTTGTTGAAATTTTTACTTGGTTCAAAAGGATCAAATCCTTGAGAGAGGTGTATTTGAAATAGTCTCTGTTCTGTGGTATTTTTACATTGTTTTCATACTCAAATTCAAATTGTTCTTTAAATAAAAAGACGCCCTCTTCGTTATAAAAATACTTTGACGTCTTTGTTCCACGCTCTAACATCTCGGTAGGAATCTCACCAAGCGCTTCTTGCATTTTATACAACAAGTTATATTCACTTGTCGCTCCAAACAGTGGATAACCTAAAAATAATTCAGCCGTCATACACCCGATACTCCACATATCAATTGCACAAGAATACGGAAGTCCCAACACAACTTCTGGTGCTCTGTAATGTCTTGATTGAATGTAACTGTATAATGTGTAGTTTTCGAAACAGGCACTCCCAAAGTCGATGAGTTTTACTTTTGAGGTCTGACCCACTAATAACACGTTTTCGGGCTTGATGTCGCAATGAACTATATTCCCCTTTGCAAGGACCAACAAAGCGCGCAATATTTGTTGAATAAATTTTCGAATGGTTTGGATACTAAAGCCATGGTTATGGTTTCTCCGTGTCAATTCATACAAATCGATGCCAAGCATTTCTGTGACGATGCAAATGTGGTTATAATACATAAAATAGTCATGCATTTTGAGTACTCTGCTATGTGGAGAATTGTCGTAGAATTTGTTAAGCTGTGTGTTATTTGTTTTCAGTCATGCGTATCATTGTAATAATTTTCAAATCTTTAATTTGTAGTAAATTGTATAAATTTACGTTTGGATATTCAAAGTGAAGTTTTTGAAAGTTTTACATGTAGTAGCTTCTCGATATTTAAGCAGACACTATTTTGTATTGTTGTTTAATATGATTAAATAAAATACAACCAAACGTGCTAAAACGTAAAGCAAATAGCGAGAGAACAAACAAAGTGAAGGACAGTAAGTTCAATAAGACTCTGTTTGAAGTAGGCTGGTCTGTTCTTGAGAACTTTTATTGCCACATATTTTCCATCTTTTAAATCAATACATTTGAGGACTTGCCCAAAAGTGCCGCGACCAAGAAGTTGAACGACTTTGTAACGCGTTATAGACTTTTGGTCTAACGAAAATTGTATTCCTTCGAGGGATGTTGCAGTACCCAAAATGTCGTTGACGTGAATGATAAGGTCGTTCTCTGAATTATCGAGACCATAATTTTTTTGGGGGTCTGAATTTGGGGTGAGGACTTCGGTTTGTGTGTGTTTACATCTTGCGATGAGGTCTAAATATCCGACAGTCAGTTGCTTTAACAGACCGGGAACGTACTCTTGGTGCGGGGCCAGCGTATGTTCGCAGTGCACAAAACAACCAGACATGCCTCTAAGTTTTGAGTACTTAAAATTGGCTCGATTTCAGTTTGTCTTACTCAACGTCGTTGGATTTTTACGAATTTTGATATTCTTGTGTTTGGTTATAATTTTAGATGCAGAATACGCGATTCTTCGGGAAACACCAATTTACATGTCGGCATCATAGACTTGTCTTTACCATAATTGTATTGATTTTTTTTTCTAATAACCAATAGATCCATTTTAATTATATTCTCTTTTTAATGTATTGAATAAATCCAGATTTGGGGGAATTCTATAACACAAAATGGAATGTGCCAAATGAAGAACATAATTGAAAAATGTTGATTCCCTTCTTCAAACAAAATCTTCTTTTTTTTTTAGGTGACACGCAGATCTTTTTGCCTTTGAATATTATTTTCACTTTTTTTTTCGTAATTTTTAATTAAAATTGGTAAATAAAATTGTTTGTTTTTTTCATATGCAAATTGTGTTTTTTAGTTAATAATTAAGTGACCAATTAATTCTTTGTTTTTCGTTCATAAAAGGCGACACACATTAACTACGAATATATTAAAAAACTAGTACATTATTGTATGACCAATCCGTTGTTGTGGTGTTTTAAAGAAGAAGTTTCAAAAAAAACTACAAAATATAATAATTTTTAAATGAAAAGAAGACTTTAATTTTTTTAAATTGCCATTTAATATATATCGCGACACAACCCGCTTTACTGCTTGAGACCATTATTAACCACATGAGTTGGTTAATGTTGTTCAATCGATAGCAATGTTAAAGTATTTGATCTAATAAAAGTGAAATAAAAATAAGATTAATTATTTATTAATTAGCTTTTAAAAAAGAATTAATTATTAAACTATACAACACCAAGTAATTGATGAATAAAAAGAAAAAAACACCCAAAAATATTAAAATACAAAAGAAGTACTTCAACAATGATCACACCAACCAGTTCTTCACAAAAACTCTTTTCAACACTCTTTTCTAAAAAGCGAACTAGTGACAATCCCAAGGCGACAACTCTCAACTTTTCTTTTGATGAATCGGCAAATGATTGGCACACCAATGAAAAGGAATATTCTCTTTTCTCAGAGTTGGGATATTTTGAATTTGTTGACACAAAAGAAAACAAAAACATCGTCGAATTCGTCATTCCCCATATTACTTCTCTAAGTTTTACTGTCGACAAGAACACGGTAAAGGTTAATGGAGTATACGGGATCCCTGTCATCGTCTCCAAGTCAAAGATATACTATTGCAGACATGCAAAGCAAATTGAGTTGAAAAATGTGACGTGTGACTTAGCGTTTTTCTCGCAG